TGGTAAAACCCTTTATTCTTCTTCCCACTTATTATCTCCAACAACAATACACCGAAGCTGAAGACATCAGATTTTATTGAGAATTGCCCATTAATGGCATATTCTGGTGCCATATAACCACTACAGAAAACAATTAAGAAAAATTATTTATCACTGTAGATTTTATCATTGTAGATTTTGTAGTGAATTAGGTAGTATAGAGAGGGCTTACTAGGTTCCAACTACTCTCTTCGTGTTCCCCTCAGATTGTTCTCCTCCAAATGTTCTAGCGATGCCAAAGTCAGAAATTTTGGGATTCATTTCACTATCAAGCAAAACATTGCTTGCTTTGAGATCTCTATGGATGATCCGCAATCGAGAATCTTGATGTAGATAGACAACCCCTCTAGCAATCCCACAAATAATGTGAAAACGCCTTGGCCAGTCTAATAGATTCCTTCTTGTATGGTCTGTCACATAACATGTTCATCCTATTAATGCAGCGTTCAACTAGAGTTTTTGAAAAAGAGTTGCACTGAATAAGGAAAAGTATTGCGTTGAATTTATATACTTCTACAAAGTTAATTGAATGGTTTAACAAGAATCCGAACCAAAAATGAAGAAGTCCAAACTTTTATTGGGCATGTATTCGTAAATCAGCAGTTTCTCCTCCCCCTGAATGCAGCATCCTAGAAGCTTTACAAGATTTCGATGTTGAAGTTTGGCTATAAGTGCTACTTCATTCTTAAACTCCGCTATTCCTTGTCTAGAGCTTCTTGAGAGCCTCTTCACAGCAATTTCTTTTCCATCTGGTAGAATACCCTGCAAAAGTGTACTTTTAAAGTTGACTATTACTTTTGGACAAAGTCTTCTCATGCTAATAGTCATTTTTTCCTAGAGCACTTATAATTTACCTTGTATACAGCCCCGAAGCCACCTTTTCCTAGCTTGTTGTTTGGAGAGAAGTTATTGGTGACATTTGATATTAAATCTAACTCAAATGATGGGAGTTCCATATCTTCAATTTGCCTTTCATCACCGCTTCCATTTTCTCTTCCTGAAAGGGTGAAGAATTTACCAAATTCAAATGGTGAGAAAAGAACCAGTAGAGGTTTCTTTCAGTATTTAATGGAACAGGATTTGTTAAGTCAAAAGAAACATGTATACCTTCTATATTTCGATAGCTTCTTCGAATGTAGTAGGTGATTACAAGAATACCAATAACTACAAGAATGGCAGTTGCAATTATCAGTCTAGCCATCATTTTAGTCGTGCCTTTTTCGTGGTCTAAATCAATAAAGCAATGAAGAAATATATGAATTAGTATATCATAGCAATGAAATATGTTCAAAAAAAAAAAAATCATAGCAATGAAATAGTTTCACAAATTAACTGAAAATAGAACTGGAAACACCCAATATAAATAGGAATCGTAATGAAATTTCGGGGAACACTGAAATATCTAACCGAATACCTGAATCAGAAAAAGCCATTCGAATGTATAAATCCTGTCCAGCAGATTGGAGTTCTTTAAGATCAATCAGATCACCAAACCAAATTGCACAACCACTGGCTTCTTTGATGTCCATGGTTGTATAGGCCATACAAGAACAATTCTCTAAGCATTTAGCCCTACACTCTTTGAGGTTCATACTTTTATTCACCCAAGAATGTGTAGTATCTGGCAGTTTCAGCCCACCCAATTTAATAAATCCATCACCTTTCTGGCAGTCTAAAGGTTTATTACGCACACATCCCTGAAACCAGTCTACCGTGCTTCCTTCTTGTGATTTCGGCTTGAAACCTTTTAAACATTTACAAGGCGGAGACATAGTATTGACACAGGTCGCATATGCCCCACAAGTCCCATAGTTGTCACAGTTATCCCAAGGAAAATAACTGTACACTGTCCAAGTCTGAGTGCCTTCATTCCACAAATAGCGTTCCTTCCTATTGAAAGCTTGGTTCAAAATAATCGTTGTGATTGTTGATTTGTTTCTGAGGTAAAATATGTAGTAAACCTCCTCTTCATTTGAGACTAAGCCGAACGTATACCACGGATTTGGCTTCGCCTGTGCCTGTGGTGTACCACTAAATGAAATGCCATTCCACGGGCCTGTCCGCGAGTATTTTCTCGAACCTTTCCAAAAAACTGCACCGGGATAATTATATGGCTCTATCTCGTAAGTTAAGTCTCCAGGGCATGGATCATCTGGATTTTTCCATGTTGATAGTCGGCGATTAAGACCACTCCTAAAGTCCCATCCAAGTTTCATACCCGCCAGCAGAGTATCAGTTGGATAGTCAAAGCTTTGCCACAAAATACCAGCATTTCTGTCCTGTAGAACAAGATTTCCAGAATCCAGGAGCTGCAGTACTGGGTTTTGAGCTTCTTTCTTTGAGTTTGATGCCCAAACAACACTCCCGCTTTGATTGAGGAGTACCAGATTACCTGTGCTGTTTATCATCAAAACACCAGACGTGTCATTAATCGGCTCGCACCTGTTTGCAACCCAGACAACATTTTGAACTGGGATATTCTTTAACCAAATTCCCAAGTAACGTCTCTTGGCTGTACTTTCAGTACCGAAGAAGCCCAGTTCAAAGCTTCCATCACTAGAAACTAAGGTTCCCCCATCACTAAGATTGGTGGATGAGGTGATGAAATTAGTTGAACATGAGAATCTAGAGAAGAAAAGCAGTAAGAGGATGATGATAATAAACATTAGATAATCTAGGGAAGAAAAGCAGTAAGAGGATGATTATATATAATAAACATTAAAAGTTGAATGTCCGTATTTTTCAAGTTTTCACCAATAAAAATGTAAAACCTTTTTGGCAGCTCTAGAAGAACACGAGTTTTGAATGTTGACTTTAAAAAAAAAAATTAAATAAGACTTTTACGATGGCAGCTTTAGACGGTTACCAATCTTGAATGTTGACTAGTGTATGCCGGCACTCCAGACTACAGCTCTCTCTCTCTTTCTAGCCGTTCCCACTGTCCTGGAAAAATGCAGTTGTTACCTTAATTTCTGGAGTAATGATAAGAGGATAAAAATTTGGAATAAAAATGTATGAGTAATAATATTTGCGTAAATATTTCATGGTTGACTCTTAAAATGTTGACGCTTTTTATGCTTGCATTCTTGTAGCGTCGGCGGATTCAACGGCGGCGATGGGAGGAGAATGAGCGGGGAGAACTGGTGGCGGAGGAGGTTATAGTTATTTCAATCTAAGTCCAAATGTCGGTTTCATGTTCCGATCTTCTCTGTGGGGAGGATTCCGCCGATTTGTTCTCCGGCCAGTCGCCCCAATGTTCGTCGGAGTTCGATTCATCGGCGTGCATCGAGGAATCGTCCATCGCGAGTTTCATTGAAGGCGAGAGGAACTTCGTTCCCGGATTCGACTACCTGGCTCGATTTCAGTCTCAATCGCTCGATGCATCGGCTCGAGAAGAGTCGGTTGCATTTGCATGGATTCTCAAGGTACAGTGATTCTATTACGTTGATTTACAATTGCGATAATGTCACCGGCACGGTTTGCTAGAAAGCGTCTATCGATTTTTATCCGTGAGATCGGAATCCGGCGAGTTTTCTAGAATCCATCCAGTCGACGGCGGATGAATCACGCCGCATTTACTTTTCTTTTTGTCCAGGTTCAAGCATTCTATAACCTCTCCGTCAACTACATGTATCGGTTCCTGTGTTCCTACAGTTTTCTGACGGTTAGCTGTCCGTCAACGTCGGGTTGATTACTGTGACAGTTATGCTTTTGTCTTAACTGGGCTTTATGTCTGCGATAGGTATTCATTTATAGTCTCCTTTTATTTTAATATAAATCTTTATTTTTTATAAAAAAATATATTTTAAATAACATAACTTATATTATATTATTAATATTAAATTTT